AGAAACCCAAGGAGGGGTTGCTATGAGTCGGGTCCGAATCGATGGCACATAACAACAACAGAGACTGATAAGCTATTGAAGAGACAATGTCTACATAGAAAAATGCTTGGCTTTACCTTGAATGCAAAGAAGTGGTCTTTGTATTTCTCACCAAAGACGAATGAAGCACCAGCATCACTGTACTCCAGGAAAATCTGAGTCAAATAAAGAAAAAAAGCAGATCATTAAAACCACTGAAGTCATGGTCACTAATCCCAGGACCCTTGAGGCTCAGCAAAGGATAGGGTTCCAGCAAACTGGTTGGATAGAAATGGAAAGCTCATTTTCTCAGGAGAGGACACGGAGGTATATTACTGAAGCATACCTGCAGAGATTTCCTGTTGTTTCTGACATTCAATCTTATTCCAAGATGCTAAAGAGTGAGCCCAGTGTGCTAATTAGCTCCCGCAAGTCATAGATGGCACACAGCACCACTAGTTAGGCCACTACACACAAAGAAAACCTATCTTTTTTTTTAGTTTTTATTGTGATTTGAGGGGGAGCTCTGGTGGCATAGTGCCTAAGGCATTTGACTGCTAACCAGAAGGCTGCTGATTCAAACCCACCAGCCATTCCTTGGAAGGAAGATTGGGCAATCTACTTCCATAGAGATACCACCTAGGAAACCCAAGGAGGGATCGCAATGAGGCAGATTCGACTTGATGGCAGTGAGTGTTGTGATTTGGATAAAGTTTACAGAGCAAATTCATTTTCCATATAGCAGTTCATATACATTTTGTTTCATGATACTGACTTCAGTTTCCCACAATGTAACAGCTCTCCTCCTACTTCCTCCCAGTAGTTACCCCTTCCCTGTGTCCTTCCCTTCTATGCCCTCCTGCCCCACCCCCTCCATCTATCTCCCTATGCAAATGCTGCCCTTCTATTCTCCCATGATTGAGCACTCCAAGGAGTGTATCTACCTGATACAAATGTTCACCCCATATGCCTGTCTATTATTTGGCTGGAAGCCACAGGAGTGAGTTCAGTTCCAGACCTGAAGGGTAACTAGGGGCCATAGTCTGGGGGGTCTCACCAGGCTCTATCATACCAGCAAACTGTTTTTTTTTTTTTTTTTTAGGATTTTGAGTTTTGATCCACATTGTTTTCCCACTCTATCAATCCAGAATCTCAAGAAAGCCTATTTATGCAAAGAAAGACTATCTTAAAAGTGTGATGCTCTTGGGTAGGTTGCAGGGAGAAATAGGGATAGGAAGTGAAGTAGTAGACAATATAGGTAGGGGGCAGCAACATATTAATAATCTAAACAAATTAACAAATTCTATGTAAAGAAATTATTTGTCTAACTCATACTACAGAATTAAAATTTGGCCAACTGTGGAGACAAATGAAATCTATTTCTGAGAAGCTGAAGAATACATGCAAATGTTATAAGTATCATAAAAGCAAAGTGTTTTTTCGAAACAAACTTACCTGAACTTGTTTGCCCAACCAGTCAAAAGCTACAAAACCAGGTTTTGTCCTTAGAATTAAGAGTCCAAAAGTAAACTGTAACCCAATTCCCCAAAAGACAGGTCTCCAGTGAACCTATGGAGAAAGATCAAGAGATAGATCTCATGTTAGAAAGTCAATGCTGAACTGGGCATAAATGCTCAGAAGAT